AACTCTCTTTCCCTTCATTTGTTCTACTTCTGCAGCTTCTTCTGAAACTGATCACTTGTTCCTTTGCAATTTTGTATCTTGTTATGGGTCTTTTTTCTAACACTAGACATGGTAAAAGCTGCAAATTCTGCCAGAGAGTGACTCATAAATCTCATTTGCATTAAAAATTTAAAAACTCACGGAGTTTGAGCCAAACACAAAACTACTCTTCTCAGGATGTTTGAAATCCTTTGAAAATGAAAACAAAGACTTTAAGTAGATAGCATAGTGACTAAAGAAATTAGTCATAGTAATAGCTGTCACTTATTGTGGACCTACTATTCACTTAAAGTCACCAATGACCAAGTTTCATTCGAACAGCATCTGTTAAAAGATAAAAAGATGGTCTTCAAAGCAAAAGTCTGGGTCTTTTCAAAGTGGCTTCTGTAAGTTACCTAGGGAACTGAGGAATATATTTGTGTGTGTGTGAGTCTTCACCCTGGCACTAGAGATGGAATCATAGGGGTTTTGAGTCCTTCAAAAAGTGTTGATGGTGGCCAGTTGATAGTGAGCCATGGTGACCGTTGCCAGATAGTGGTGTGGAGGGGCTGAGAGGGAGAAGAGTTGGCCCAGTTCTGCCACCATGACCTTGTGGGTTTTCACGGCCCTTAACTTCACAGTGGGGGCTGGACTTGAGAGTCCAGAATCAGCTAAGTCAGAGTTGGTAGACAATTGGATAATAACAGGCTTGAGCTCCAAGGAGGGATGACAAGGTGCCTTTTTAGATGCTTCCAGCAACCAACCACATTTGCCATTTTGCCTCCCCTTCACTTCTAGAATAATTTTAAATAATAATGTTTAGCATATACTCAGTGCTTGTTTTGTTCCAGGCTCCATTTAAGTAATTTACATGTACAGTAAGTCCCATACATATGAACGAGTTCCGTTCTGAGAGCACGTTCATAAGTCCAATTTGTTCGTAAGTCCAACAAAGTTAGCCTAGGTACCCAGCTAACACAATCGGCTATATAGTACTGTACTGTAATAGGTTTATAATACTTTTCACATAAATGATACATAAAAAACAAACAAACACAAAACATAAAGCAAACTTAAAATCTTACAGTACAGTACCGTGAAAAGTACAGTAGTGCAGTACCACAGCTGGCATCCAGGGGCTGGCATCGAGTGAACAGGCAAGAAGAGTTACTGACTGGAGGAGGGAGAGGAGGTGGGAGATGGTAGAGCCAAAGGATCGCCAGCAGTAGGAGATGGAGGGCAAGCTGCAATTTCACTCATGTCTGTCGTTGATGGAGGGAAAGTTTGCAACTCAAAGGTTGGTATGTAGGGGACTTACTGTATTAGCTCATCCAAATAACAACTTACGAGGTAGCTAATATTATCATTCTATATTCACAGATACGAAAACTGATGTTCAGAGAGGTTTAGTAACTTGCCCAAGGTTACACAATTAGTAGGTGGTGAATCTACAATGCCTAACTTCTGGTTACGCTATGATTACACCCCCCTCTAAGAATAATTCCTTTCTTGCTCTACCACCCTGCATTCTGCCCTTTTTCCTATGTGCCTACACTATTTCTTGTGCAATTTCACCCTCTCTCGCAAGTTAACAAGTAATTGTACAATTTTTAAAGATTGTATCCCACTCGAAAAGGTCGGACAGATTATTTGAATATTTTGTGCTCCGAGTAGAGATGTCCCCTTCCCCCAGGGTGGGAGCACATAAAGTATAAACTCTTTCCTATAATCAGGCCAATCCACAATGTTTGTGAGAGTAAGAAACCCAGGTTATCCAACAATCCGGCAGAGAGTTCAACTGTAATAGATACAGTGAAACAAGATAGGTTACAATTATGACAAGAGGCACTGCAAGATCCCAGACTATCTCCTCAGTTACCAGTCTTGCTACTTATCAGGGTACTAATAATGCACATGTATTAATATAGTTCTGGTTCCAGTGACATGGTAGGTCGAGCTAACTAATGTTTAATGTTCTAATGCAGTTATATAGAAATGCTGAACAAAGAGTACAGAAATTTTGTATTACAGCAGAGCTCAGAAAAGGAAAATTTCCATGTGCCAGAAATGAAGAGTGAACCCAAAGTCAGAGCTGTGAGCAACTGATTGGCTACTTTTCTATGAGCCTTGATGCAGGGACCCAGACTCTCTGTGTCTTATGGCTCCACCATCTTCGTTATGTAATTTCCGAGGTCACTGTGCTTATTTTCGTCAAGCTGATGGAGGATAAAAGAGCACAGAGGATGGCCTGTTGGAAAGTCTTATAGGCCAGGCCTAGAAATAGCCTATACTACTTCCACTAACCTTCTGTTGAACTCACATCACAGTGGCTGGGAATGCAGGCTAGCTGTGTACCAGGAGGAGGAGGAACGGTGTTTGGAGATTATAAGTCTGTGTCATGTAAGCTAAATAGCCTTACCTTCTAAATATTCTGAATAACTGGGACTTGGAAAAAAAGATACAAACTCTTTAAGTCTCAGTGGCTTACACTTTCAGGAAGAACAGATTGAGGAACTTTTAAATAAATTAATTAAAAGTTAAAACTCTTTGTCTGTGGGTACATTCTCTTTTTACCTTGCCGTGGCTGTAGATGGATTCCATGTCTTTACACTTCTCTTTCAACAGGTGAAAGTATGATATCCAATTTTACAGCTAAGGAGGATGCTTTACTTTTCTGTTAATGAGTTCTTATATGCCTAATAAAGTTATTTCTCAATTCAGGGAAACATGTTTTCCTTTCAGTACTCAAAATTGGCATGTATTTGTTGCCTTCTGTAGCGAACTATGAAGGCATACAAATCAGGAGGTTGAAATATCTGCACATGTTTTTAGAGATAACTGAGTTCAAGGCCAAATCCACTGAATTATAGATGTATTCAGTCAGATGAAAACAGTTTTTATATTTCTGAGCATTTGCTTTATAGTCATCTCACATAAGAGTTTAGTTTTGCACAAAGCTTGAAGGTTGGCTTGATTTTTCTTAGTTTGCCCTGAAATATATAGCTCATTGGCTAGAGATGTCAATATGTAGCTCATTGGCTAGAGAGGTAAGGAGCAAGAAAGAAGAGAGTATGCATTTAGTTTTCTTCCCCCTATCTGGAAGCTTTTGCAAGGTTCTCTTTATCCATGTGATGTGGAAGTCCTTAAGACAGCCTGCCAGCCCCCTCAGGCTCAAGTAGGGATAGTCACTGCTCACTGCGCTCCAGAATCACTGTTTTCTTTCCTTCCTCCCTCCTTCCTTCCTTCCTTCCTTCCTCTTTTTTAAATTAATTGACATAAAAGATTGTATTAGTTTCAGGTGTACAACATAATGATTTGATATATGTAGATATCGCAAAATGATCACTACAGTAAGTTTAGTTAACATCCATTACCACACGTAGTTACAAGTTCTTTTTCTTGTGAGGAGAAGTTTTAAGATCTATCCTCTTAGCAACTTTCAAACATACAGTACAGTATTGTTAACTTTAGTCACCATGCTGTACCTTACACCCCCAGGAGTTACTTATCTCATAACTGGATGCTTGTGACCTTTGACCACCTTCACCTATTTCACCCACCCCACCCCACTGCCTCTGACAACCACCAGTCTGTTCCCTGAGTCTATGAGTTTGTTGTCTGAAGATTTTTTAGATTCCACACATACATGATTACATACAGTATTTATCTTTCTGCCCAACTTACTTCGCCTAGCATAAAGCCCTAAAGGTCCATCCGTGTTGTCACAAATGGCAGGATTTCCTTCTTCTTTATGGCTGAAAAATATTCCATATCTATCTATCTATATCTATCTATCTATCTATATAGATATATATATCACGTTTTCCTTCTTATTACCATGTTTCCCCCTCTTCCTTGGGCCTCCCACCTGCTTTTCCCTCTGCCAGGAGCACCATCTTTGCTAATTAACACCTGTTCATCCTTCAGATATCAATTTAAACTTCATTACACAAACACACAGCCCCAGGAAGCCTTTCCTGAACCATAGGTTGGGTCAGTGCCCTTATAATATACTCTGTAAAACTGGGTATGTCCCTGTAGCAATTTAGCACACTTGCAGTTAATTACTTTGTCATGGTTTCCCCCGTGAGAATATAAGTCCTGTGATGGGAGGGGCCATCTGTCTTGTTCACCATTGTATCCCTGGTTGCTAGTTTAGTGTCTGGTTAAGATGGGCATCCATAGATGTTAACTGAACAAATGAATATTACGATTATCCACAAAAAGTTTGGAAAGCCTTGCCTGTGTCCCTTTTATGGAACTCTATGGCTTTTTATGAAGAGAGGGCTAGAATGCACCTTCACAGACCTTCACAGTTGAGAACGTCTCCTCTCAGTGGTCTCTCTCTGCTGCAGCTCACTGGTGGCTCCCATCTACTTGTCAGTGTTCCAAACACAGCTTGGTGGAATCTGCAAGAGGATGGGCAGGTATTGTCTTTGGCCAGCCATGGGCAGGTATTGTCTTTGGCCGGCCACGGGCAGGTGGTTTAAGAGCTGTGGCATATCAAGCCTCTTTAATTCTGCCTAGACATGTTATTAGAGTAGGACGAAACCTAGGAAACCAGAAACTGTATCGGAAAGGCTTGAGATCCAGAGGTAGATTTGGGGGCGGGGGGCAGGCAGTCAGCCTCCTACAATAGTGTTAATAATATACGTGGTCTGAATCTCAATACTGTTCCCTTCGTAGATGGGGAGTAAAGCCATTGGGTCAGGCTTCAGGGTAGCTCAGGTCTGAGGAGAAGCATGACCCCTCATTCTCTGCACTTGGCTTCCACTCAACCTCCTGAGAGGACTTTGGGATCTCAGGCAAGGGAACGTCTCTGATTCTTTCATGATTCCATTTCTGTCTTCGCCAGAGGGCTTATGGAGGATTTTTCTCAAGACTGCAAACGGGTTGTCTCAGGTCAGTGAGAAAGACGGATCCACTCCTTGGAGTGAGACTAAATAAAAACTGTAAAGTCAATAAGGTTGCATTTTTCACAGGGATCCCTGAGAAGACTCAGGCCATCCAGGGCCACTGGACTACCGTCAGCAACACGTGGTGTGGACCTGACCCGGGATTCCCTTACAGCTGGAGTGGAGAACAAAAGACCACAAGAGAGGTATCTTTTCTGAGATCCACAAGTCAGTGTCTGTGATTCTGCCCTTTGTTTACATTTAAATTTTCATCATTTGGCTTTTATGGACTGACAGATGTGACACTGATCCTTGCTTTAACTTTTTCTGCAGCAACAGGTGAATAAATTGCATGTCTTTTCTGTTAAACCTTGAGAGGGGTTCGAAACTAAACTTGTGAGGAGAGAAGGAACTAGCAGACCCTCAGCTAGTGTGAATCCTCCACTTGGCATCTGGGCTGGAACCTTCTCTCAACCAGACTCTCAGTACTGTAACTCCACAGGCCTTTCCTCCTGAGTTCTAGCTTCATCTATTGCTTTTGCCCTGTGCCTCTCCAGCATTCATTGGCTTTTATCACAGTATTCTGCAAAATTGCTTTTCACAGATGTGTTATTCTTAATACAAGCTTTCTCTTAAGCTATCTAGGAAATAGGTTTTTTTCCATGAACTGAGCAGCAGTTCTAAAGCCACCTATTTGGTTGTGTTAGGTGGATGGATCTCCCCTGCACCTAGAATTACCTTGATCTTGCATATACCCTTGTCTTTTGTTCGTAGTGGAATCTGAAAGGGGTTGTCTGTGCATAATGCCCACAATATAATGGCATGTAACTTATAGAGTGTCAGCTGATGGGTGGTCTGGGAACAATATTAGGTCTGACTCTTGACTTAATTCTCATATGTGCTTCTTTTCCTATGATCAGCTTTTGCAAGTCCCGCATTATCAATACATGAATTAGATAACACAACCTGTATATATTACATGCATTACCCATAGAAATAGAAAACTTAGAGAATACAAACATAGGTTCCTCAAAAGTTAGGCATTATTTCACAGAATCTTTTCAATTTCTCTCTAACATTTCCCTCTAAAATGAATTTACTGCAATATTCTGCACAGAAACTGCTAGCCACTTCCCATTACCTATGTTCTGCTTCTTGACCATAAGTTGGGTACATTGCTGCCCAGCTAAAGGCACATTTCTCAGCCTTTCCTGCAGCCAACTTTGGCTATGACATTAAGTTTCAGCCAGTGAGTTGTAAATGTAATTTTTTAAAATAGATATCACATACATGTTTATTCATTCATTTATGCTTTCAGTATATAGTTAATTTTTAAAAATTAATTTATTTATTTTTGGCTGCGTTGGGTCTTCATTGCTGCACGTGGGCTTTCTCTAGTTGCGGTGAGAGGGGGCTACTCTTCGTTAGGGTGCGCGGACTTCTCATTGCGGTGGCTTCTCTTGTTGTGGAGCACGGGCTCTAGGCACATGGGCTTCAGTAGTTGTGGCACGCAGGCTCAGTAGTTGTGGCACACGGGCCCAGTTGCCCCGCGGCATGTGGGATCTTCCCAGACCAGGTCTTGTCCCCTGCACTGGCAGGAGGATTCCCAACCACTGCATCACCAGGGAAGTTCCGTAGATGTAATTGTTAAGTGGGGTTTGGGGGCAGAATTCCCTTAAAAGAGAGTCTCTTCCATTTGCTGTCTGTTACATAGATATAATTAGAAGACTTGTGGGGGCTTTCACGAACAAGGACCACATCATAGGGATGATGCTGGGTTCCTGATGACTCTGTAGAGCCACCTCATCAGCTCTGGACTTTGTACTCCTTTTGTGTGTGAGAGAAATAAGACACACCTATTTTGTTTAAGCCACTGTCATTTTGAGATTTTCTGTTATATATTGCTGATCCTAATCCTAACTCATAGAACCATCTCCCATCCACTTAATACCATTGATTCAGGGATCCCTGAATGAGTATAGTAAGTATTTTCAATCTATGACTTTAAGGATAAAATGGCAAAAGTGAGTATGATGACCCCAATTTCAGGGGCTAAAGTAATTGCTAAGATTCAGGAATAAATAGACCTCAGAACCTTATTTTCTTTCTTGCCCTTTCTGTCAAGTGTAGGATTATTAAAGCCATTACCCAAGAGAAATATCCACTGCTACGTAGAATCTGTAGCTTCACATCCCTCATTTCATTTCCATCCTTACATCGCCCTACTTCTCTTCTTAGTACATATGAAATTAAATGGTTTGCTACTCAGTCAAGATTAGAGAACTTTTGCCATCAAAGTGTGGTTCCTGGGCTTGAACGAAAGAAATTAATTAGCATTTGTTTGTATGATTACTGGGTTCTAGAAAAGAGTATTTGTTCAAATCATAAATCAGTTCATGAAACAAAATGCCAAAAGTGTTGTTTATTGTAAGAATGACATCAGAATCCTCCATTGTTTTCCAACCAGACACAACAAATCTTAAACTCTGTTCTTAGTGGTGATTGTTTGAATTATGGATACTAAAGTCACCAGGATGCCAGAAAGGAAAAGACAGAGCAGAGGCTATGGCACCTTTTCAGAAAGGTGAATAAAGAAAGAGGCATATATGTTCAATTAAGTATGATCTGTTTCTTTAATATGCCCAACTCAGTTCTCCTTTTCTGTTTACATAGAGTTGAAATTAGAAACATTCCGTAGATCAGTGAATCTATTTTAACTAAAAAATATAAGGAGAAGATACTATATAAGGAATGTCTGACTCCCTCTTGGTAATATTGACAGGCATTGAAATAAGTTAATTCTCTTGAGTCCATTTGTCCCCAAATTGTGTTTCTCTCATTGCAAGCATATGTGGTACCATATTATTGGCAAAGATTATCTTGTTAGAGTCAAAAACCTATAAAGAACTAAATATGTATGGAAGGAGCTTGGAATATCCTTTTTTCTAGAGTGAACTGCGTTTGAATTATAATAGTTGATAGTTTCATGATCATTCACTTCTAACCCAATTCCCAATAGCTCTGAAAGAATTGACAGAACACATGTCACCATTATATCTCAGGCCACTTAATTGATCATTATAAAATTATACTCAGTCAACTCTCCTTTCTCATTATGGAGAGAAAGGGGACAAAGATAATTCCCAATTAGAATGAAAACCAAGGTATAGTCAACTATTGATTATGTGAGATGACTTAACTGTGGTTAAGAAGAACCTTTATGCCCAAGCTTTGGTCTTTTCAGTCCAGCCAATGTCAACAGTCATCATTACTCAGCCAGTGCCCAATCATGAGCCCTACTCCTCACCTCAACCAGGGTGCACAAGTTATTCCAAAGCAACATAATGTAACAACAGCAATGATCATCCTAGGTAACACAGTATTCTACTCAGTAGCACTCAACAGGATTCTTTCAAGCCAGGTATTCACTCATTTATTCTTTGTAATAACTCTCTGAGATTCTATTTTAGAGATAACTTCACTGAGGCAAGAGATTAAATAACTTGCTCAAGGTCACTCAGCTACTAACGGTACATCACAGGTAGTCTCACTTCAGATTCTGTGGTCCTAACCACTCTAGTGAAGCAAATAAAACAAGGAACACATGTTGGAGAACATTCTAGTAAAACCTGATCTCATCCTGCATAGAGCCTGTCTATTCTCAATGTGCAGAGGTGTTAGTATCTGATTAACAATTGCCCTCAGGTGATAATTCTTAAAGGGAATACTAACAAACCTCTTTGGCCATGTATTCTACTTAGGAACTTTGCTTAGTGAAAGCAAGTGTGAGTCATGCATTTAGAATTATGTCATCCTCAGATGACTATCTCTCTCCCAATCTCCTCTCCGCCCCAAGTTCAGCCTTTGAAGGAACTTTAGTATTTATCATTCTTTGGAAATGCTCCCATCCTCTCCAAGTGTCACTGCTTGGACATTTCAAATGCATTTATCTGCTCTTTAAATGAATACACTATATGCTAATAACTCAAGGAAATATTCTATCATCTTTCTCAAAGCAAAAAAAGTCTTTGACTCTGGTGTTTCCAATCTCCTGTTCTTTCTTAGTGTAATAGTTTATAAATTATTAAAATTCAACTTTTTTCCTAGGAAGACTAAATTAACAAAAAAAATGGTTCATTTGTTTTTATATAGGAATAGTAATTAGATAAGCTTAGTAAATCACCAGCGTAATGAACCTGAACCTGGAAACCAGCCTGACTTGAGTGTCATGTGGTAAACTCAGCCTCTGAAAACCCTGTCTATGAAGATGCAAAATGCTTTATAAATATTGAGTCTGATTCTATCCTTTGTTTCATAGATTGTTAGGCTCAGGGGGCTTCTACAACATAGAATCTATGTTAATCTTTTCATTTCCAAATGGGGATAGTGAAACCCAGGAAGTATGAGTGACTTGTCTAAGGTTACACAGTTATTGGCAGAGCCAGGGTTCAGCCTATGTCTCCTAGCTTTCTGCCAGTGATCTTGCCATTTCATTGTCTCTCTCAGTTAATTTAGAGTCATAGAAAAGGCCTCTTCTGAAATCGTCAAGGGGTGTTCAGGGTGAGATGAATGTTAGGAAAGTGTCATGTGCTCTGGCTCAGGAATCTCAAGCCCAATTTTCAGGAGCTAAGACAGGCATTTATTATCATTCTCTCAAGAGCAGCTGTAGTTTCTACTACTTTACCTTTTCTAGAATTCCCAGGAAAGGGGGGGGGGGTGGGTGGGAATACAGAGCATGTTACTATGCATCATGGTTCTACTGCAGAGACACGTTGATTAAAGATAGTACCTTTTCTCTGCAGATCTCAGTTGTGCTACTTTTTGGTTTGCCGCTTTTGTTCTAGCTCAGCTGTAGTTCTTCTCAAAGCACCCTAGCCTCTGACCCTTAGAATTCCCCCAAGTCCCTGGGCCCATCCTCCTTACCCTTGCGTATTGTGACCCCTAGGCCCTACCTCCATCCCTTGCCTTGTGAACCTTTCTTCCAAAATTCTGCTTTCAATTTTTAAAAATATTTATTTATTTTTAATTAATTAATTATTACTTTTTTGGCCATGTCAAGTCTTAGTTGCTGCACGCGGGATCTTCACTGAGGCACGTGGGATCTTTTGTTGCAACGCGTGAGCTCTTTGTTGCGGCACGCGGCGTTCTCTCTAGTTATGGTGTGTGGGTTTTCTCTCTGTAGTTGTGGCGTGCGGGCTCCAGGGCG